CCTAAGACTCCCCAGGCTGTCTCCTAGTCACTATCATCTCAGAGATAGCCTCTAATGTATGTCACAATAAATTAGTTTCACCTGTTTTGAACTTCATATAGATGTAATTGTAGCGCGTGTACTCTTTTATGTCAGGCTTTCTTTGTTATCTCACTGAGATTCATCCATGCTGTTGCATATAGCAGTCGTTCATTTATTTTTTATAGCTGAATAGTATCCAGGTGTAAGAATATACTGTAATGTGTTTATCCATTATTCTGTTGATGGACTTTTGGGTTGATGCCAGGTCTTGGCTATTATGAATAAAGCTTCTGTGAACATTCTTCTACATGTCTTTTGGTGGACATTAGCATCATTTATTTCTCTCGGGTATATACATATACCTATGAGTGGAATTGTTAGATTCAAGAGTTATTGTACATTTAATTTTTCCTATCAGTACAGTGTAAAAATTCTTTTTAGCTTTTGACAGGATATCCCAACATGCCCCACACCACTGCATTCTGGAAATTTCATTGACATACAAGGCTCTGTGTTTTTATGGGATTTATCTCCCATCCTCCAATACACACGTTTTATAAAAGTATGATGTTACTTACGGCTTCCTGGGTCCTACTTATCTCCTGATTACCACAGCTTGGGGTCTGATCAGTGGACCAGAGTGGAACTCTGGGTCCCCAGGGGTTGTGTACCCTGTAATTCCAGGAAGGTCTGGGGATTTTTCTTCCCTCACTCCATTTACACAGGTCACAAGTACCCTTGGCAAATTCTAGGAGGAAAACTTATATAATATTATTGTAGGGTTCTTCCTTCATCTGGTAGTTGAGTAACTGGGTAAGGAACTAGGATACTATACTGTGGTGGCTCAGATTAGGCCCCATTTCATTACAGATAGAATATTCTTGGACAAATAGAACAAGTGGGACCTTAATGGGCTTTCTATTTCAATCCTGGGAGACCCATGACCATTTAGCATCTCCCGAAGACCCCTGTAGATCAAACCATTCTCCTTAGCACAGCATGTATACTCAACAAAGTGCTCATAGTCAACATATAAAATGAACTACAAATCAAAAGACAAACTAGGAGAAAACCACAAAAAAGAAGCTATGCAATTGTCCAGTAAAAATGAAAAGTACTTATCCCATTAGTTATAGGGAAAATTAAAATTAAAACCATAAGGAAATACACAACCACTAGAATAGCTAAAATTAAAAAGGCTGGCATTACTAAGTGACTATAGAACAATGGGAACCTTTATACACTGCTGTAGGGAGTATTGCTGGTACAACTACTTAGGAAAGCTGTTTGGCAATATTACTAATGCTGAACATATACACACCATATGATTTAGCAATTCCACTCCAGAAACACATAATTTGAGGATCAAAAGACAAGGATGTTGCTCATAGTGGCACTATTTTTAATAGTCTCAAACTGGAAACAACCCAGATGTCCAGAACAGTAAAATGAAATAAATTTATATTGTATTCTTACAGTAGTCCTCATCAGCAGTTTTGCTTTACATGATTTCAGTTACCCATGGTTACTGCAGTCTGAAATTATTCAATGGAAAATTCCAGAAATAATCAATTCATAAGTTTTAAATTGTGTGCTGTTTTGAGCTGTGTGACGAAATTCTGTGCCAACGTGCTCTATTTGTCATGACTCATCCCTTTATCTACCATATCCATCCTTTATACACTACCCACCTGTTGGTTGCTTAGTAGCCTTTTTGGTTATCAGATCAACTGTCACAGTATCACAGTGCTTGTGTTCAAGTCACCCTTATTTACTTAATAATGGCCCCAAAGCATAAGAATAGTGATGCTGGCAATTCAGACATGCCAGAGAAGACGTAAAGTGCTTCCTTTAAGTGAAAAGGTATGTACGTATACAAAAAAAGGTAGTATATGTAGGGTTCCATACTATCTGTGGTTTCAGGCATCCAATAGGGGGCTTGGAACATTCCCCACGGATAAGGGGGACTACTCTAGTCAAATTCATCAGCCTTATCTTCCACATTTTTGAGGGTCCTGTCACTATCTTGATGAGACTGCCCTCTGCTGGAGATAACAGGAGCTGCAGGGTAGGTCTTGTCCTTCAACAATTCGTTTCCACCTTTTCTACATTTTTGAGAGTCCTGTCGCTATCTTGATGAGACTGCCCTCTGCTGGAGATAACAGGAGCTGCAGGGTAGGTCTTGTCTTTCAACAATTCGTTTCCAATTTAACTATATGTGGCACGTAATTCTTAGTCTGTGGTTTGAGTTTGAGGCCATTCTATAGCTTCATTTAAAATAACATATATATTTAACATGTATTAAGCATTTACTATGTCCCAGGCACTGAACTCAGCTTTACATGAATGTCTCAATCTTATAGGTTGATACAAGTATTATCCCTATTTTACTTTTGAGGAAACTGAGACACAGAGAGACTAAGAAATGTTCCCAAGGACACTCAAGCAGTAAGAGGGGAAGCTGGAATTCAAACCCTGGCAGACTGCACCAGGCTTCTAACCACTAAGCTTTGTAGCCTCTCATGGTGCTTTCTTTATATTTATTCATATGGATTTCTGAATGTTGAAGCAATGAGTGGGGCAATCATGCAAACACTCCCATCTCTCTTGGAGATTTTTTTTTTTTTAACTAGATCTCATTTTATTTCTATTATAAAGTCGCAAAAGGGCCCAGGAAGCCATGAGGCATGACTCAATCAGCTCAAGTCACCCCTAAATTGGTTTCTCCTCAAGACTAGTTAGTATACTTGCGAAGATCATCCAAAAACAAACATAAACTTAAATCTCGCCAGGTCAGGAAGTAACTGAAATCCTGGAGATTTGTTATTTAAATTTTTTTACTAGGTGCTGAATTACAGGTAGCAATAAAATATTCAGAGGAAAAAACCATGCGACTCACACAAGGAAGTGACAATCTTGATAAATGATGAAAAAAGGGATGTAGAACTGCTTATAAAATTGCCATTTTCAAAAATATACATTTTAATGCTGACTTTTGCCAAATGTTAATTTGAAGATATTTTACATGAAATCCTTCTTGACAAATACAATTTGTCTGTTACTAAGAGTTGGGATTAAACTATATTTGGTTTTTAGACAAAATTACATTTAAATGTATTGGAATGTTTTTCAGATAAAAAACAAGCTAGTGATATGCTATGTTTGTAGCTATTGATAACTTTTGTACAATTTCAGAAAGTATAAATCCCTAATTGTCAAAATATACTACTGTCTCAAATTTCACTTCATCATATTTTTAAAAAGTCCCCACAAAACAATTCTGCCTATCCCACTCTAAATACTATAAATTGTAAGAAACAGAGCTTCTAAAAAATTGTTTTTATACTGGTTATTCATTCAATGCTCTCAGCTCCACATGAAGCTGGAGGCTTGCGCACCATATTTTCCAGACTTCCTTGCCACTTCTGTTATGACAATAATCTAGGAATCATTGGCAAAAGATTTGTTGTTAAGGTCAGAAGGAAACACAAATCCACGGTTCTCTCAGCTTCTGGGGCACCTCTGGCAGCTGCATCATAGCAGTGGTGGATGAGTGTGGCTCCTCGGTCCTGCAGGGGCCCTGCAGGTCCAATAGCAACAAGGGCAGATCAGCCAGCACAAACACTTGTGGGTTCTGGCAGTGACAGGCAAAGGTGCCATGACTGACATTTATACCTTAGTTATGAATTTCCCAAAATCCCACTCCCAGACCACCTCTCTCCCTCAGTAGCTAGCATTAAAAAAAAAAAAAAAAAAAAGGGTGTGAAATATAGCACCACTTACCTGTTTTTACCTTGGGCAAGAGGGAATGCCCCCAAATTTGGGGAAGATTATTAGATGTCTGTGATTCAGTCACTGTGGAATACAGATGAGGGTGGGCTTATGTAGCTCTGATCGTCATGTCATTTTACTGCCTTCTGTGGGAGTCCAGTGGGATTCTTCCTTATAGATTCTTGACCTAAAGGCATGATAACCACTGGGACCTCCGCTTATACCTATATTACCTGCTTCCTCACCTGCATGTGAAGGATTGCCCATATTCCCTAAAAGGTTTTCATTTTTAGGGGGTTCCCAGGCTCTCTACAACATGAGTTCAGGAAAGCAGCTTTTTCCTCTTATGGTATCTGGGCAAGTTCAAGAGAATGGTGGCAAAGAGGCAGCAGCTCTGCTTCAGAGAAATGTCTCTACTTTGTTTAAGGGCCTGCATCAGAATAAGGGCCATGAAGCTATATATTCATTTATTCAAATTTGTGAACTTTTATCACAAGTATTTCTGGTACCCACAGGGCTTGATCCAAGTGCTTGATAAGCCATACTGACCTTGCAAAAGATCAACTGGTCACCCTCTGCCCGCACCCGTCTGGTGGGTGGTCCAAGGAGTCCGGCAGTGCCAGGGCCGACACAGGTCATTGAGACCATAGGTGGAAAGGGCTACTAGAAGACATGGGACTCCACCTTGCCCTCTGTGTCTTGGGAACACCAGATCCTGGCCTGCAAAGCCCATGGTCAAACAGAAATAGGTCTTTGGCCAGTGGTTAGCTTGCGTCTCAGGTTCCAGGTGATAGCTGCTCCTGGCTGAAGCCCTAAAACCCTAGATCAGGGGTCAACAAACTTTTGTAAAAAGCCATATAACAAATATTTTAGACTTTACAAGTCAGAGGGTCCCTATTGCAACTACTCATCTCTGCCATGGGATGTGAAAGTAGTCAATGCATGGGGTGGCTGTGTTCCAATAAATCTCTATTTATAAAAACAGGTAGTAGGCCAGATTTGGACCATGGACTGTAATTTGCCAACCACTAGCCTTGATGATACTCAGATGACCAGGCGACTATGGCTCAGCTCAGTCTGCTCCTCTGTGAGAGGGAAACCTTTAGGGTCTGGTGCTGTGCTGAGAGCTGTTCATAGGGGCAGAACAGGGCACTGTGTGTGGGGTGGTGGGTGCAGAGGCCAGAATATGAGGGCAACAGTGAAACAGGTTGAGCTTTTTTCCAATAAAACATCAACTGCTTTATTCCAGGTCAGATCAAACATTCCTACCCCCATACACACATGTTCCCTGGTTAGGCACTGTCCTTACTGAGGCCTTAGGAGCCCTTGTGCTGTGGCGTAACCACCAGGCCCTCTCTGGTGACGGCCCAGTTGTAGCTCTTTGGGGAGTCCAATGCTTCTTCCACCCGTGCTTCCAGGTTCTCTCGAGTGATGAAGTTTTTTGCCTCCTCCTATTGGGAGAGAGAAAGCCATCTGAATGGAGGCCCCAGCACACACCAGCCTGCCCACACAGCCTCTTGGCCTTTAGCCCACTGAAGGAGAGGCTCCAGCTCTCTCTGGGGAAGGATGCTTGGAGTCCAGGTCCTCTGAGTACTCCACTGACCTTCCAGGGGAGTAAAATTAGGCAGCCTTGTCACATTCCTCTTTCTTAACCATCCACTGGACACCTCAGCCAGACCCCAAGCTCAAGAGGTGTGACAATCTGGTGTCCTGCTGGATGGAATCAGTCCCTTGATGTTGCCTGGGCCCTTCTTAATCTCTTTCAAACTCTTTTCTTCATTACTTTAATTAAAGCCTCAACCATTCTTGTTGGATCACTCCTGCTTTTAAGTCTCACATCTGCCATCCTGGCCCAAATATTTAACTCATCAATGAATTCATCACCCCATAAGGCAAAATACAAACTCCTCGAAGATGGGGGATGTGTGTGGGGTGGGTCCCTACTTCAGATACCAGCTTACCATCCACTAGCTACTTGAACGCTTTCCAGTGTCAACTCTAACCTCCAGGTCTTTGTGCCTGACTGCTAGCCAGTGCCCCACTTCCTGCGCTCAGGACTCAATAGCCGCCCAGGCTGAGCTCTCGGTCGCCAGCCACATCCTCTGGAGACGGGGCCCACCTGCAGCTGCTGCACTTCTCGCTCCTTGAGTTGCACCCAGGCCTGTGTCTCTCGGGCCTGCCGGGCCTTCTCCTCAGCCTGCCGCTGCTCCTGCTCCCGCGCCTCCTGCCGCAGCCTCTCTATTCTGGGAGAAGCAAGAGGCTGAGACAGAGCTGGCTGGATTGCCCGGGGGCCGGCCAGGGGGTCTGGCCACGCCCGGCTCACCGTAGCTCTTGCAGCCGCTGGTTCTCTGCCTGGTTCCAGGCCATCAGCTCGCGGTGCTCAGCAATGTCCTGCCGCGCCTTGCGCTCTGCCTCGACCCCGGACCGGGCTTCATGCACTTTCCTTCGCACCTCGGACACGAACTCCATCCTGGGCGGAGA